TTATATAGTTAGTTGTTCTTTTAAAAATAAAACAAAATACGGGTGGGGATTTAGCTCAGTGGTTCTGCCACCTGTCTCATAAGCACAAGGTCCCGAGTTCGATCCCCGGTACCAAAAAGATAAAAAAATTAAAAAAAAAATTTAAAAAGTAAAGCCAAAAAACCTAGCACATAGGATAATGTTTTTAAAAAACTGGACACCTCTGAGAATGTATCTGGCTGCATTTTATTGGTTTCTCCTTAGAGTTCATCATCAACATCCAAGAGAACAATCGCAGCACTTGGTACCAATTTCCACAATCAACTGGAAATCAGTAAAGTGCAAGGGTCTGTATGGCTCTATAAACAAGATGTTTAGAAACCTATCTTCCAAATATTTCACGACATTTACACATTCAATCACAACAAATATTTCTTTTAAAAACAACCAAAAGCCATGGTTTCACAACAGATTAGTAGATGCCTCGTCCCAGACTGAGATATTTACCACACCTCCTTACAAAACAGTTGTCTGTATAGTTACATAGTCCTACTAAACCAACAAAAGTATTTTAGTACTGTTATCCAAAGATATTACACTGCAGCTCCCATGTTAATGCACAGAAGCTTCAATCAGTAAGCAAACTAATCTAAATCAAATTCCATCTAATTGAAAATAATCATCATGTGCTGCCCAGGGGTGGCAAGTATGAATGAGTTACTGAAAATACTCATGGTAATTGCTGCTTGCTATTTATGATGACCAGACTTGAAGGAGTTTACTTAGTGAAATGACTAAGCATGCAGATCACCACTGCAAAGCACACAGGAATATCACTCTTGACATCCACACTCAAAGCAGCCCAGGATCCTTGCGTAGTGTCACAGCGTGGTTGTTATTTCATGATGTCAGATACACTGCTGGTGACAGAATGGAAATTTATAATTGGAGTCATTTCATGTTCAAGTGATGTACTACCACAAGAGATGTTTTCTAGCTCAGTGGAGTGTACGTTAAATATTAAGGTCTAAATATTATCTTCCAAAGCCCAAGATTTTTCTGCTTTCAAGCACATATGCACAAAATACTAACAGTGAAAATTATTGAAAGCTATTTTTTAATTATATGGGGAGTTATTTACCTTGCAGGCTCCCAAAACATGTAACAACACACAAGTCACGGAGTTCAATGGAGAAGAAAACCAGTTCTAAGACAAACTTGACAGAAAACATCCAGATATTTAGGCTAGCTCCCATCAGCATTCATCCTTCTCTGTGTTATACCAATTTTTTTTTTTAATCATTGTCATCATCAGAACTAGAGTAGGGACTGGGAAGCCTGAGTTCTAATTCCAGGTCTGCAGCTAACAGTCTAAAAAGCTATATAATCATGGGGAAAACCTATAATCTCTCGGAGCTCTAATTTGCTTGTCTATAAAATGAGAGGGTTGGCAATAAATGCTTTTAAAACAGAATAGAAAAATGCAAGGTAAAAATGACTACCTAAACATAACAGAATTGATCCTAACTTATAAAGGCAAATACATATACACCATAGCTTTAAAAAAAAGAGTGAAATAAGAAAACATTATGACATTACATGGTGATGAAGAGATTGAAAAGAACTAATGTACTTTTAATCCTATAAGGAAGATTCCTATAAAATATACTAACAAAAAACAAAAACAAAAATATCAACTCTCAAACTCTATATTCCTTTTGCCCTAGTAGTTCTACTTTCAAACACAAATTTTCAAAGAAAATATAAAAGTACTCCAAAAAAGAATTTCCAGAGCAGCACTATATATGAAAGAGCAAAGTTGGAAACAACCTGTATGTTCAAAAATAGAGACAGAGTTGCGCAAAACAGAACAAGGTTTTGCTAACAAAATAGAACAAGGGCCTATGCCATTTTTTAAAATACTGGGCTATCTTCAAAGAGTACAAGCATTTACCTGATATAACACGGCACATAAAATTTGATCACAAAATATATTTGCCTTCTTTATGATTCTGCCAAAAAATATACTTTTAAAAACCAGAAGAGAAATGGGAGGGATAGAACTAATTCTTTTTGTTTACTCTTTCTAGAAAACTCACAACATCAGCAAAAAATAAAGGGAATTGTGAGACTGGAATATTCTCTCCACTACTGCCATGCTTCTATATAGCTTTCCTAACATGACTAAAACTGTCTTACACCTTTACCTAAAGCTTAATGCTTTCCAAATGCTTTCACAAAGACTGTTACTCAATTGTTTAAAAAATGGTCAGCATTTCACGGCATCTATATACCAAAATATTAAACTTTCACACAAAGGCTAGTGCACCAGATGTATCCTATGTAACCAGGCTATACATATTGATCACTCATGGCCTCTTTTCCCCAAATGTCAACAATGGGAAATTAATGAAAACGGCAAGGCTTATGTTATTATTTATATTTTTTAAAATAGAATAGCTGGGTGTGGTGGCATATGCCTGTAATCTCAGCACTTGGGAGGCTGAGGCAGGAATATGGTCACTAGCTTGAGGCCAACCTCGACTACAGAGCAAGAACCTGTCTCAAAACAAACAGACAGACAGACACAAAACAACAACAAAAAGCACAGTAAAAAAGGCAAACACATAAATGCCACAGGATTAAACAAAGAAATGTTTTTCACCAGATGGAAAACAGCAAAATAACAAAACATCATGCAATTATTTGGTGATGTCTCTAAAATCAACTTAATATGGCTGAATATTCCAGGAAGCAAATAGGCCAGAAAACTTTCATGGAGTCTTGTAGAATACTACTTCCTTCTTTAAACGCCATAGGTCACTAACCCACGGCAAAAGTGGTCACTCAGGTTGACTTAGCAATGGATTCCCCTCTGCTGTAGGATACCTATGGTGAATAGCCTTACTACTATAATACACGGAACTCATAAGCATAAGTAAGGCATAGTGTTTGACTTCAGTATATCGTGACACCAAAAATATATAAAAGGAGAAAGCTAGAAAGAATCATTTTAAGTATAAACTGCTGACAGCACTCTTGGAAACAGCCATGTTGACACTTCACAAAGGCCTGAGTAAATACTTTTTCTTTCAAAAAAATTTTATCTACTAGCCAATATTTTTAAATAGTATGTTTTAAGCTTTAAAATGCTGGTGGTTCTCTAACATCTTCTGAGAATAATACAGAAAAAAAGTGATAGTATGTCATGTGGAAAATCGTACCAGACTACCATACACACTTCTCTCAGGGATTGGCTAGAGCAGAAAAAAGAAAAAATCAAAAATATTTTTATTTTTCCAGATTTACAACTTCAGCCAAAAAATCTGGTTCTAGGTTATACTAACAAGATACTGATAAGAAGCCAAGCCTAATTTCTACTGTTACAAGCATTCTCTAACAATTAGAAAAAGAGCTATCATTTTAAAAACTATATGAAAGCCAAGGTAATTAATCTTAACTCAATGGTTTCTACTGACAGACCATGTATTTGCCTGTAATCAGCAAATTATAAGCTTTTAGATTGACTTAGAAATGGATTACCCATTTAAAAATGAATTGCAAAAATATATTACAAAATACAGAAAAATTCCACTGATTTTATGTTGGAATTATTCTGTAGAATTGTACCAATATATTTTGCATATTCAAATAACATCTACACATCATATAGGTTCCGGGAGGCCACCTAATAATATACAGATTTAAAGAAAATGACTAACATGCAGAACTTCAAGTTTCACATCAAGTTAAACAAAATTTACACAGAATTAAAACACCATCATATCGGGGGTTACTCACTAGATAAGATAGCAACCCAGAGCTGAGACTCACTCATTCTGTCATTAAAATACCATGTACTGAGGCAGGGGCAGAAAGCTGTCTTTAAGAAAATTAAAAATCAACTTCAGAAAAAGCACTTATTTGGGAGTAAATCATACTTTAAATAGAAATTAAAATAACATGTAAGTTGCACCCAAGAACTTTAGTAGATAAGAGGCCATTTACATTTCAAAGTCTCCTGCCTGCGGTATTCTTAAGTATTGTACCACTAGGATTTGTCAGTGCTATGGAGACACTTCAATTAAGGCTATGTGGTAGAGCTCTGTGTAAATTAATTAGTTGAGGTTACACAGATTTTCTAAATGCAGCTCTCTAAAACAGCCTCGGAGATATGCAAGATTTGCAGGGAATTAAAATTTAAATACATCTTACTAATCAATTCTACTTGCCTTCACATTTCAATGACATTCTCTATAATGATAAATAAGTCCATGAAAATACTACTAACTAAAATTTTTTTTGCTCTCCATTGGAACTAAAGGAAAGGGTTTTCAATTTTGCTTTTGATGCTCAGGTTTTATTTCAGATTTTATCTACACTTGCTGGCAAGGGTTTTCATATGATAACTATTATGAACTTGATCCATATTTACATGGAAAATGAGTCTATATCTGAAATTCACATATGCTACAACTAAATTAGCTATCTAGTAATTTCTATAAACAATGTCATAACAAAAATACAAATTTCATGAGCCTGCACTGAGACATCACTTGTTAAATTTGTTTATTATAATGTAGGTAAATATTAAATTTTGACATGTTTTATCTAAGATGATATAAAAGTTACCTTTTTAAAATTCAAAATACTATGTGGTTGTTTGCCATAACTAATTTTTAAAACAACTAGAACCAGATGTCTGATGAATATTATTCTTCAAAATAAGTAAAATGTATGCAGAAAAAAACACTAAAAAGCAGTTGTGTAAAGGATCATACTGTAAATCAAAAAACAAAGAAATATGAAATTTTCAAGAGGTCGGGAAGCTTCTAACTATGTACATAAGTGATACGTGAGCTCTTCTGTAATCCTAAAATAAAGTCCCTACAGTCTCATTACAGTAATTGTGAAAAATTTATACTTGCTATACAGTGGAAATGACTTAGAGACTGTTTTAATGGCTGATTTGTTTCAAGAGCATGGCCAGTGTATGTACAAATATATCTTTGAGATTATACCATTGAGAAGAGGCTGTCCTTCATGCACATCCTTCGATAAGACGGCACTGTAAACATCTTCAGGAAATCCAGTCTTGCATAATGCGATTTCACCAGAAGCCTCTACAGATGCCTGCAACACAAGAAAATAAAAATGTGTGCCATGACTGCTACCTCCTTCAGCCGAGAAACATTCCACTTGGCATCAAGCCTCATTTTTTCTACTGTCTTATACAAACAACCCCTTTGATTCTGAGGGGTTACAGTTAGAATGTAGAGGCCAAAGGGTTAATCTTTTTGATAACTGGAATAGAAGAAACAAATCCCACTTGTCTAGTCCAGTAAAATCGAAATAATACACATTCCAGGTTCTTCTAAGGACTGACCATTTCCATTAAAATGACCATTGTGAAGGAAGAACTACCAAGTGGGCGTGGGGTTAGGGGAAAGCCAAATCCCCTCTGGGACCACACATCACCATTACTAACAAAAATTCTCATGATATACATATGCATTCAAGGATGCAGATTTTTATTTCATCTATCAAGTTTATTTCAGTATAATCTGTTGCTTAAGAAAACAATTATATTTAGTGCAGGATGGATTTTATAACAACAAGTCAAAGCCATTAAAACATATTATGTCTTATTTGAAGGACAGGGATATATTAAAATATAAATAACGATCAATACAATTTTGTTTTTTCTTATACTCTTACCATGTTACCTAGCCACATATACCCAGCTGATCACCTGTGTCCCTGTCCTCTTATACAGTTAACACCTATATGCTGAAAACTGAGTCCTGCACCAAATGCTACTGAACTAACCCTCCAAGATAGTTTCACTACCTCTTCTGGCCCTACTGGCACAATCACAGGACGATTATCCCTCAGCAGAGCTCTGGCAGCATGCACATCAATTTCTAGGAAACTCCACCGTGCACTGATGTCGGTTCAAACACAGGAGGAGGAAGAAAGGATACATGGAGACCACCTGAGAATCCTTTCAGCAGCCACATGGACAGACGGCACTAGGAGCAACCCACACTGGTGTGAAGAACCAGAAATTGATGAAAAGAAGAAAGGGAAACCCCAGAAGCAGAAAGAACTCAGGACAGGTTCTGGATGAAACAATACAATGCGGCTTTATAATCAAAGCAATACTCAGATTATGCAAGTAAAGTTTTGCAAATACTAATGTGGCTAAATCCAGACTAGTCTAATAGCAAATGGTTACTTTCAAATCTGAGAAATTACAGAAGAAAATAAATTTAAACTTTATTAACTATTGCACAGTATTTAATCTCTGAAGAGTGTTAAGGGGTGACAGTGAGGCAAGGGTTCAAACCCATCAAACTCAGGAAGAGTTTTAACTCTGTAAAGTGCAAGAATGCACTGTCTAAACTCAAGGCCACCGAGGAACCCTTGCCTTACATCCGGGTGAGAGGCTGCCCTGGGGGAGAACGTAGCACATTGTAGTGAAGGTGAATGTGGGTAGACACTACATTGCAGGTTCCATCCGGGGAAGTTCTACTTTCTCTGGTAGATACAAGCAGGAATGTTCACTGGGGCAAAGTTTTATTTTTATTTTATATATTTATTTTTGGGGGGGGTACCAGGGATTGAACTCAGGACCTTGTGCTTGCAAGGTAGGCACTGGAACCACTGAGCTAAATCCCCGGCCCTGGGGCAAAGTTTTAACAACAGGAACTAGAGTCTGCCTCAGAGTCCACCAACAGGAGAATGGAAGAATACATGTGCACACAGCCAAGGAGAACAATGCCCAGCAACATTAAAACCGAAAAATTGGAACTTTGTGTATCCTCAGGGCTACAACTCAAAAGCAAAACAAAACTAACCAAACAAACAAAAAAAAAAGTCAGGCAAAAAGAGAAATTCAATTACCAACCAACCTGGGGATTACTATTATTTTTAGTCAGTTCAAAAACCTTTTCGTGTGACGTTCCAAATTGAAATTGAAGACACAGCACACAGCAATATGAATTTTGCCAAAAACAAATAAATAAAAAGCATGGTTGATGATTGCATTGATATAAAATTTAAACACAAATGGCAATATAATGTTACAGACACATACAAATGTGGAAAGAATATAAAAACGTACAAGGCAGTGATAGCTCTACAGATGACTTCAAATTTATCTGCGTTTAGTCATAAAATGTGAAGATTTGTGTACCATCTGGATAAAAATTGCATTATTCCCTACATATCTTATATTGTATGCTCTATATATTTCAAAAGAAAAAAGAAAAAATACTCAGTCCAAACTTTATGCCCTACATATCCTATATATTTCACAATAAAAAAAGAGAAAATATTAGGAACCAGTGAGAAAAAAGAAGTGAGGCTTCCTATTCACATCAAGTTTCAGATACCAGAGATAACATGACACTCCATACCTCTAAATACGAGTGGACACTCAGTCAGGGCATGCTTTTGTTTTGAGATAACTAAAACAAATAAAGGGAATGCCCCAGGTCGCCATATGAGAGGTACAAGTCTGTGTCCTGCTCTCACGTCTGGGGACTGCCTCTTCACCTCCGGCCCACGCTTCTAACAGAGGTGAGGCTGGGCCAGTTCAGAGCCCCAAGGGAGGCAGGTTAGGGCCAGAGCCAAGCTGGGCAGGTCAGGGGCCAGAAGCAAACAGTGGGAGGCACAGGGCAAAAAGAGCCACATTTCAACTCAAGGATCCAGGTTAGGACAGTGCGCAGGGAAGCCCTCAGCAATCCATCAATGAAGCCTAGATACTGGAGGAATATGAAGCTTTTCTTCACCTCTAGGGCTAGTCTTGCTTCCCACTGGATCTACCCCAAGGTAGGGGAATTAGTAACAATGGATCCATGGTCCAAACCCATAGGAATGGGGATTCAAGGTAGCATGAAGTCATCAGGAACAAAGAAGATGCTGGTTTCAGATGTTCAATCTCCTTATTTCAAATAAAGGGACTTCAGTCATCAACACACTACCCCTTACTTGGCCCTTCTGTGCTCACCTTCCTCAGGTATGAAAGGGCACCTACATGCCTTGGTTGACCGTGAGAATTACTGAAACAATGTTCGTAAAGCACATCTCTAACAAATCCTGGCTACTCATAATAAATATCCATGGAGGCTCTTATTACTTTAGGATTTTTATGCTCATTTTACTCAGCTGAAGACTTCTTTAGATTTTTCTTTCCAAAGACAAAAATGAATCCACAAAACATGTTGTTATTAACCTATAATGTGTTTTAATGCTCTATAGAATTATTAAAATATTTACTTCTCCCTAATAATTGATTAATTCCCCCTCTTAACTTTCAGTCCTAAATAACAAATTTAACATGTTCAACAAACAAACAGGAAGCACTCAAATGAAGACATCTCCACATTGGAGATACTGCAGGTTTCCTTTACACCATTTAATTCTTTCAGGCTAGGGATGGTGCTGGTACTAGGTCAGAGATGGGGGGAATCACAGAGCTGGTGACCAAGATCCAAGATCTACCCAGGGAAGCCAAGTCCACTCTTGAAGTCTCTGATAATTGTGAGGTCTTGGACACTGAAATTTCACTAGTCTAAACTCATAGTTAGGAGCCAGGCATGGCAGTCCATGCCTGTAATCCCAGCACTTGTGAGACTGAGGCAGGAGGATAGCTGTGAGTTCCAGGCCAGCCTGAGTTCAAGGACAGCCCGAACTACATAGCAAGACCCTGTCAACAACAACAACAACAACAACAAAGATAAACTTGTAGCTAATGCTTGAATGTTCTGTAGTAGCAGTTCTCAACCAGAGGTGATTCTGTCCCCAGGGGACATCTGGCAATATCTGAAAACACTTTTGGGCAATACAACTTGGAGCAGGAGTGATTCCGTTGGCTTCTAGCAGGTAGAGGCCAGGGTGCTCTTAACCATATACAAGGACAGGTCAAGATCCACCACAAAGAAATACCCAAGTCAAAATATCAGTAAGGCCAAGGATAAGAAACCCTGTCATATAACATTTCACAAAAAGAGGTGTCCCTCTATCCTCTCATATCCTCCCCAAGTAGTTCACTAAATTCTTGCTTAGATACCCTCTCAGAAAGCCAAATCTCTGCCTTTGTGCCTCACTCCAGCACTAAATGATCATTTCAACCAGGCCCAGAACGAAGCTCTGAAATTAGAAGTTGAGAAAGAATTCAATCCTCAACGAGTTCACAGTGGACACAAGGAAGAGGTTGTGAATTATACACATTTTTCTATATTTGAACAGTGCAGAAGTCTGCAAGATTTCTCTGTAAAAGGCCAGGTAGTAAATATTTTAGGCTCATAGGCTTGGGGTCTCTGTTGAAAGTATTGAACTTTATTACTGAAATGTAAAAGCAGCTATAGATAACTGGAAAATGAATGAGCATTGCTATGTTCATTCCAACAAAACTTGATTTATGGATACTGAAACTTGAATTTCAATTCATTGTCAAGTGTCAAAAATATCATTTTTCTTTTGATTTTTTGGAAAGTATCAGCACATTTAAAAACGTGAGAAACATTCTTTACCATACAAAAAGAGGCAGCAGGATTACAGACTGCAGATCCCTGGAATAGTGTATGTTTTAAACAACATTGCTATCTGACTTAATGGTCCTAAGAATTCCCTGAGAGTAAGGGGTGAAAATATTAGCATTTGATAAATGAGCAAAGAAGGCCTCATAGGCAGTGAAATACCCAAGACCTTACATCCAGAGAGAGGAATAGGCAGATTCTAACTCTGCAGTCTTTCTAAGTACAACAAAGAATTACTATTCTTTCAAGAAACATGGACTGAATATCCATTTGTCACTGAAAATGGAGAACAAGGCACAGCCCCTGCCCTAAGGAGCTCAAGGCTTAATGTGGGAAGCAGAAATACTTAGAAGATATGAGAGCCTAGGAGAGGGTTCTGGGGGCTCCCAAGCACAGCCCAGGAGCAGCAAGGCAGTGAGAGGTGGCAGGAAAATCATCCCAGGGTTGAGCTAAAAGCAAGGCAGCAAGAGACAGCATCGTGCCTAGGGAATAACAATGAGTCCAGTGTCGCCGGAGTCCAAGAAGCGAGCCAGGATGTCAAAAGTTGAGGCTGGAGTGTTGGACTGGGTTAGATCATAGATGGCTGAG